ACAGAGAAATAAAGTTTCATAAGATCATAAGTAAGAATAGTTAGTTGTATTACCTGATTTCTTCCATAGTTATCACTATTAAACCATCACAGATAGCACAAGCAACATCCTTCTGCGCACTCAGTCATTTTCTGTGTATCACCTTCATTTTAGTTCTTTTCTAAGTAGGTATTCGTTACTTCGTCTGATTTCTGCATTTTGTCGCTTTTTAAACTGCCTGCATATTTTTTGTTTTGTTRCTTATCAGTGCCTCAGACTGACATAACTTGTTGTTCGTCATTTCATCGCTTTTGACGAAATACCAGAGTCCCTATTTTTTTCGTTTTCTATCCTACGCAAGTGGCCTTCTTCGATTCCTATGTAAAAAATAAAAAATAAAAAATAAAAATCACAAAAATTATTTTTTAATCTATTCAGCTAAAAGCTATAGAGACATTGTCAATCTGTTTTAAAAAGTCGAAAAATCCTCGATGAAAAAGAATAATTTTTTCTTACTTAGGCCGAGTCCATTTCGATCCTTCTAGTCTTCGATTCCTATGTTGGGAAAAAACATTAACGGTTATTTTTCATCTGATCTCCAGCAACCTAAAATCTAGCGTCATACTTGAAAAAGTTGAAAACCAAATTTGCTTCCTTTTTCATTCGATATCATGCTGATAGCCGATAAGTCCATGTTCGTGAGTCATCGTCAAACTTCAGTACACATTTTTGGGTTTTACTTGATTGAGTTTGAGGAACTTGGGTCTTTGATTCCTATTGCAAAAATTCAAAACGAAAAGTCACAGCATTAGAGTACCAACGACAAAGATTAAAGCAACTAATTAAAATAAATAAAAGTATTAATGGCCAAAAAATATTATGGCTTGGTTTCTTTCTTAAAAAATGAGATAAATCCGAAGTCTTACGGATACGGCATACCTTTTCTTTTGAACCTCTTTTGGTTTCTATGTTCCGCGCTTCTTGGAACTGAAGCCTGTCGTCAATACGTTCAACGGAGCACAGAATAAATAAAGAAAAATTAAAATCAGGAGATATATCACCGCGCTTAGGTCTCATGCTAAGCTTAACTTCAAATAAAATTTCTGTTTACCATAAAAATTTACAGCCATCCCCATCCAGAGAGAGCACAGAATATTCTTAACAAATCTAAAGATGTTTGTCTTTTAAAAATTTGCAATCTTAAAAATCCATAATTGATGCATGATATTGATATTTGATCCTATCAGCGCTGAAGTTTTGTTAAGTTTCCAATTGTTTTTCTCAGCACCGTTAATTTTTACATTTTCAGCCGTCTGCCTGTACGTATGACAAGAAAAATTATAAATTATATACGTATGTCAACCTCATAGTCTTCGATAGGTTAATATTTTGATAAATCCAGTGACGTCAACACCGATTTGAAATGCAATGTGATCAGCAGTCATGCGTTCTAATTTATTAGCTAGTTTCCTATTTATGGGTACGTTGGGCATGAGCATTAAACTACATCCGAATTATCAATCAGCGACGACTTTTCTCTACGAGTTCAGACATGTCCCTGCTGCCTCCTGTCATGTTTGTATTTCATAAGAACAGGAGAACTGCACCATCACGTGATGGCAGCCATGTCAGGAGGCACAAAAAATAGAGTATCATGTCTATTTTTAGGATAGCCCTCTACTGAAGCCACCTTTAAGATCACCACCCCTTTCTCCTGGCAGTTGGATAATATGTCATATCTATTTTTAGATAGAAGTTCGACTTTCCAAACTTCTCTCTGGGTATCTAAATAGGTCAGTCTACTTTTAGAATTTTTTTCCAATATTCTGGGTTCATCCGATATTTTTTTTCCTTCTTTAAGGCTGGTTGATTTTTTTAACTTTTATATTTTCGAAAGTGGTTATCTTCTCGATCTCTTACCATCCTATTATTCTATATTTTCAATCTTAGAAATTGGCACCATTGACTAGTAGTGTAAAATTTAATAGATTCATGATCTGATTATAATCTACGATCTATTTCATTTTCGTCTATTTGGTTAGGGTTTCTGAAATTCTGATTAGTATTTTATGCATTTTTATTGTTCAAAAAGAGACACGCGTCATGATTTCTCTTTTTATGAGCCGGGGGGGTGGGGGGTACTCGACTATATTCGTTAAAGAGTCTGCCGCCAAACAGGGTATGGTTTTCAGTGATTTTACTCTGGACAGGGTATATAAAATCGCGCTCGCTCTGGGACAGGGTACATGAAATCACGCTCTCTCCTCCTGGAACAGGGTATCCATGTTCGCAATACCGGAACAGGGTATGATTTTCAGCGATCTTGCTCTGGAACAGGGTGTGAACTTCGGCGATTTTACTCTGGAACAGGGTCAGGGTTCATAAGGCTCAGCGGCACATCCGTGCCCTAAACGGACAAGAGTACACCCCCCCCC